AGATGTTCATTCTTTACTTGCCCAGTATTCTGAAATGTCTGCACAAATGTCATCTGGAAGGTCTTACACACTTACATAAACCAGAGAAGAATCCTCAGACCTTACTGCAATGCAGACAGTTGCAGTTTTACATTTAACCTTAGCTGCAACATTTCTGTATTGCAATGTTAATTAAGATATATAAATATGTACTTGATCTAAAGCCCAGAATACATCCTGTCAAATTCTTTTTTAACACAGTTTATTCTAACAACAGACTACAAAGAGAAGAAAGCACTTACCCGAATTAGAATCTGGAAAAGACAAATAGCAAATATTGGTTTTCTAAATGGTAGGGAAAAGAAAAGAGAGCTGTTATATTTTCTGAGATATAAATATATTTCCTAAGCTAAAACCAAATGATATATAGCAACTATGACTTACCTCTTTATCTGTGAGTTTGGAATGTGGAGGATATATCACCTACAGGAAAAAAACCAGTATTATTTTATTTGAAAATAAATTGGGCATAAGCAATAAATTTCCATCAAATATTTTAACAGTACAACCCTTGAACAGCTGTAGGAAAACCCCTTCCCAGCTGTAGGACATTTTCAATTGTAAGCTATTAATATTATGTCTCAGTTCTTATCTTCGTATGCTTTTAAGCTTTCTTGATCACCCATCTTTACAAGGTATTTTGGATGCCAGTCAGAGACCACACATGTTCATTTAAAAAGGTATATTCAGAATATACATTCAGAGTAGTTGAGATTTTTTGTGCAAAAGGTCTCAAAGGAGAGCAAGATTACATATTTTAGATTTAACTGGTACATGCAAAACGTAGTAGATGATTACATTTAAAGCAAACACACATTATTGTCTGAAATCAGTTGCAATCAAAAGTTAGGCTGGAGTAACCAAAATTCAACCACAAAACAAGATCTCTATTATTACCAGCTCTTGGAGGATGAACACTAGTCCCTAATGATGTCTGTGGAAGCTCAAGGAATAAACTCGAAGTCATGGCTTTTTGTACTTACAGAAAAACAAATAGATCATGTAGTAAGTTTGCACAACACAGAAATCAACAATGATGCAACACAGCTAAGAAGCGGAAGCACAATTACTTCCGAAAAGAAAGGATGTACAAAATCAGTGATTATGCAAGCAGCTGGGAATAGAATACACACGAAAGAGGACAAACCTCAGACACCTAAATTTCACCTAAAAGGGTCCTCAAAACAACACACAACCTCCTCCAAAACTCCTGAAATGTGTGGCTAGCTTATAAGCAGAAAAAATTTGACATAAATTCCAGGAAAACTGACATAAATGATGTTTCAAAGAAGGTTTCAGGGCCTCCAAAGATGGGACCTAGTTGAAAAGCAGAAGCTGAATGCAGGAACAGTAGCTTCATGCAGTCCTCATCTTACCATACAGCTAACATCCCATTATCTCATTTAATCTTGTTCTACCAAATGCAAGTAAATTTATTTCCTGGTAACACAACACTATCCTACTCTATAGAAAACAACAGATATACCCACTGGCTGATCTCTGACTAAGCACCTTTCTGTCCTCCAGCCATAAAGTCTCCAGTGCATTTTTTTCCCCTCAGTCTCCTATCAAATGGTGGCCAGCTGTGTAAGACATTGTTAGCACAACTGAAGCTGAAAGCAGACACCAGTGGAACACCTGCATTCTGCATGCAGTAAACCTACCACTGTCTTTTTTTCAACTCTTAATACTTTCCTTTGCTATCTTATGCTAAGCAGCTGTACACTAAATGTAACTTTCAGAAGCTGAATGATGCTGAATTATCGACATTTAGTCAGAAGACTGGCATACAGATTTGAATTAATACTCGTTCTCCTCACTAGCAGGTGTTTCTTCCCAGAATTCCTATATAAACTGAAGCTAATTATTCTTCCTGCAGCTACATATTGGAGGGGAAAAAAAAAAAAAACCAACCACCAAACAAAACCAAAACCCAACAAAACAGGCCTTAGTTCTGTAGACATTTTAAATCTCATTTTATATATCTAGTTAAACTAATGAGACTGTCAGCTGAGAAGCCTCAGCCAGGACAGAGGCTGTGCTTCCCTCAGCCACTGAGCACAACACCTGCCCAAGTCACAGGTTATAGAGAAACGTTTGTCTTTGTTGTTATCGTCACCTTATAACATCAAGGGAAGAGAACTCAGATAATTAGCACAGTATCCTGGTATTATCTGCACTTCTTTGTGGCCAACAGTCATGTATTTTACACACTGTAATAGCTTGGTTGAATTTTAGGCCAGTCTGCCATGCATTTACACTGGCACCCCTTTAAGGCAAGAGAAAGAGAAAGAAAAACAGACTTTCCCTGCAGACCAAGAGTTCGCTGCGCAGTCACATGGTGACCAGGGTGAAACAGGATGTGAAAGTGACCCGAACAGTAACTCTTCTCTCATTTCCCAGCACTGTGAGCTCCCCGTGCCCTCTCCAAGTGGTGCCACAGCTGTCCCTGCCCTCCCAATGCGGTGCCACAGCTGTCCCTGCCCTCCCCAAGCAGTGCCACAGCTGTCCCTGCCCCTGCCCTCCCCAAGCAGTGCCACAGCTGTCCCTGTCCCTGCCCTCCCCAAGCGGTGCCACAGTTTTCCAGCCTGTTGCACAGAGCACAGCTGGGAGCCGCAGCCGTGACACTGCCACGGGCCGGCATCTGGCTTGAAGGAAAACACTTCAAACCTGTAGAGAACCTTTCCGCACACCTCAGCGACCTGGAGAACGCTGTTAATAATGAAGATCACTCACGTCCTCCTTATTATCACACTTTTTAACACCTAGATGCCATAGGAATCAGCGCTATTCGTACGCAAAGGAAGCCAACGATGTACTTCATACAAATCTCGGGAAGCGATGCAAGCCATTTACAAGCGCCCGCTGCCAGCACAAGCAGCACCACGAGCAGAGCTGCACCAGCCTCGCTCGGGACAGCCGAGCCGGATCACCGGGTCGCTGCCCGCTCGCCGCTCCGGGGCTCCGTACAGCCACGCTTCCTCAAGCACGGCCGAGCTTCCCCCGCCTCTGTGCAACACCGGGGCCAGAGGAAGGGCCCGATTCCGGCGGGGCCCCGCCGCAGCCCGCAGGGCGAGCGGTGCCTCCCGCCCGCCGCCGCACGTACCTCCACGGCCTGGCCCAGCTCCAGGTCGAAGCCCACCACGCACACGCAGTGCAGCCAGGCTGAGAAGCGGTCCCAGGGCAGCAGCGACAGGCACTGGTCGGGACTCTCCGGCTCCGCAGGCTCCGCATCCTCCGCAGCCACCTCGGCACCACCCGGCCCTGACTCCGGGCCCCGGCCCCGCCGCGACATGGCCCCGACCCCGGCCCCGCCGCGCGGAGTCAGGTGACTCGCGTGGCCCCGCCCGCTCCCCCCGGAGCCGCTCGGAGTGGGAGGGGCCAAGCGGGCACCGAGGGGAGGCCAAACCATTCCTGCGGGGAACGGGGGGGGGTGGGGGCCGTAGGGAGGGAGCGCCCCCGCGCGGCCCGCCAGGGAAGGGGCGCGGTGCGCCCGGGCCGGCCCGGCCCCTCCGAGCGGGCACCGGGCGGGCGGAGCCGGTCGGGCGGGGAAAGCGGCTCCTCCCGGGGCTGCAGGCACCGCACCCGGCCGCGGGGAGCCCGCCCCACCGGTGCTTAGCCGGGTGCTCGCGAGGGCAGCTCTGCAGGCAACGGATCAATCGGCTTTCTTTTCTCTTTGGCATGTCAGTGACAGCACCTGCTGGGGGCCGCCGTGGCTGCCAAGTAATTAACAGGCGTGTGTCCATCGTGAGCTATGCACGGCTGAGCACCGCACGGAGGGACATGGAAATACCCCTCTGGCTCCTGGCTGGACAGCTTCAACCTCACGGGAAACTGGGATAATAAAAAAAGCATCTAAATCTCTTAAACCCTCTTTTAGTGCCTTAGCCAAAGCCCAAGCTCTTTAATAATGTAAGAGCTTTCAAATATTCTTTTAACACAGTCCAACAGCTATTTATATTTCATTATGAAACATTTTGTAGAGTTAAAAGTGCTAAATAGCTACTTTATTTAACAAAAAAAAAAAAAACAAAAACTTGCACTCACCTCCCCTAAAACTCCTGACCTCTTTTAATTAAATTATTCACACTAGATTTTTGGTTGACTGCTACTAGAACAGCTTCAGCAGCAGTAAGTGTGGATGAGCTGCTCCCTGAATCACTACATGCCATTTTTTCTCCAGAACAGGAGTTGTAAATATTAAAACCAAGATGATGAATCTATATATACTTAAAAGAAAACGTAGGACTCCTTGCTCTGTTGCACTGTTTCCTTAAGGCCCATTAACAACATTTGTTTATCTATCAAAAGCAAACTGCTAGAAATTAAAGTATGCTTTGATCACTGGAGTAATTTTCTAGACAAAAGATGAATAAACATATAACTCAGACAAAATAATAACACACAAAATTATCATGGTAATAACTTGAGGTACAGCAGCCTTCAGTTATCATAAAGCATGAGTAGCAAAGCGAATGTTAGATAGACTGAGATAGGAATGGGGCTCTGCAGTGTGCAGCCTCGGGCAGGCTCTGTGGGAAGGTTCTCGCTGTCTCTCAGGTATTTTACAGTGATACCAGGCAACACTCACAGATTTTTCAAGTAGTTAACTCCTAAATTCTGTAGAAGATTACTTTTGACAAAAAGACATGACTATGACTGAGCTTAATCAAGTTCAAACTCAGTGCAATGAGTCTCAGTGGAATTTCATTTGCTGTTTCCATTTAAGAACTTAAATGGCCTGGCCAAAAGCTTTTATCACTTGGTTTAAGAAAAGATTTCATGTCACTGCCTCTTATAAGCCTTCCCTTGTTTATATTCTTGCTGTCATGTGCAAACCAAATTTTTTAGCTATTATCATCATGCATGTCCTTCTAGTTTTTGCTGGCCCCTTTTTAAATTTCCATGTGAATAAAAAAGTGTAAGTGTATCCATGTGAAATAATAAAAAAAAGTACTTAATAAGAGTGATACATTTTATTAAACAGTAAATTAATTTCATTGGATGCTTAACAAATAATCTTTTGGCAGGAGAAAGTTAAGAGAATAGACACACGATCCCTGATAAAAAAAGTACAAAAGAAAGGATTCTTACCTACTGGAGATATTCCCAATAAACAGTGATTCAGAAAGATTTTCACGTAGCCATTTAAAATACATTTTAGTTTTGATAAAATGTGATTATCTCCTTCAGTTGAGAAAGAAAAATATTTCTGCATGTATTGTAACATTTAGAAACATCTGAGTCTCTTCTTCAAGAAGCATCAACGCGGGACAAAAAACAGACTTCAGAGTTGGGAACCACCTGAGAGCATTTTGCTACAAATTACAATAAAGCCTCATAAAACACTAGGGCTCTGCATATGGAATGTGCCCTTAACAAATCTCCAGGAACTCTGCCTTGTTTTGCACAAATACAGCCATCTGTTAATATCTGGAAAGGTTTGGACAAGAGAGACTGCTAGAAAAAGCATGCCCTCGATGTCAGTTGCTGGAATAAAAATGAGAAAAGGCCTGTGTGGCACAGCTGGGTTCTAAAGATCCACAACTGCTCAGTGTTTGAGCCTGCCCTGCTTTCTTCCATGCTCTATCTCGCTCCCACAGCTGCGATCTCCGCGGCGCTGCCCTGCGTCTCTTAGCAGGATGGTTTCTATCAGGTAGCAGCAAATGTGGTGTTGGCTGCTGGCTGGCCAGGTTCCACCAGCTTCAGCAGGGAGTGACTGTGCAGACGGCTCACATCCACAGAGAAACACCAAAGAACTGCATAAACATCATCTGCTCATCTCATCTTCCCCTCCATCCCCCGCCTCGAGATTTCAGTTTAAGGCAGTATTTTATTTGTATTTGAAAATTATATTTGGTCTAATAAAGACATTCAGTTAAAACAAATAAACACACACACCAAAAAAAAAGCCATTATTATTTTTAAATAATCTTTTCCGTTTTTCAAACAGCCACAGAAAACATCAAACATTTCAAAAAGTCAAAATTAATATTGACTGTTAAATTGATATATGAAGAGAAAAGCAAATAAGGGCTGGCCACATGATGACTATGTTCTGCTAAAATGATAAAGCAGTGAAAATGCCAGGTATTTCAATTTGCCTGATTTAATTTGAAATTAAAACCACTTCATGTAAAATTAGCTATATATTAGCTAATTTTTGTATTAATGTATTGCCCGTTACATTACACTTATGTATATATACCAAATACATGTATTATCAACATACTGTGCAACGTACATTATATATATAAACAGGATATATAGCACATAATAAAGAATAGATTTTAAATCATTGTATAAAACATTCATATTTATTACATAATCTAAATTGAATAGTACGTTCAGTATATGCTCACTACATACATTACATTAATGTAAGTGTTATGTTGGTAAGACTCTCATTTATATACTGGATACAAGTATCCTTTTTTTAACCGGAAAATAGGAGCAGGGAAGGATCTGAAAGAAAATGGAATAAATGGAGAACCTACCTGACAAGAGAGGATTAGACAGGTAAAATTGCTTATTCTTTCAAAATTAATGCTGAAAGATAATGCAATTGTACTTTACATAACCAGACAGAGAGTTAAAAGATCACAAACAGAAAATAAGTCTGAAACTAAAGAACAAGAATAGCACTAAAATGAAAATGTGTAACCCTTCACTAAATCTGGGGTGATCATTAGAACAAATTTTTTTAACACTGGAGAAAACTTCTCTGAAACATTTCCTTACTTTTTGACAGTTTGGTTCAAGAATGTTTTAGAAGCCAAAATCTAGATGTTTTGCAGGTATGCACATGAACTATCTCAGCTGCATTTCATCCTCCTGAAACAGACACCAGCTCTTTAAGGGACAAATGTGACAGTCCCTTAAAGAGCTCCCTTTCCCTTATCCAAGATGGCATGGAACGGGCTCTTTCTGCCCTCAGCTATGATGGCTATCATAACATTTTCATGGACTTCCTGCCCAGAAAAAGGAGGGACACAGCTGGCTCCTGCTGCCCTTACCTAACATGGCTGCGAGGCGCTTGCCTGCTCAGCTGTGTGACAGCGTCCGCAGAAATGAAGCAGAAGGAGCTGAGGCTTCCTCCCTCCTCCTCCCCTTTCTCCTCCTCCTCCTCCGAGCACAGCACAGAAGCCAAGCACTTCATACACAACTCCTCATCCACCTGTTGCTTTCCAGTTCTGGGATGGACGCTTTCTGGTAAGCAGCAGACACCTCAGAAAATCCCCATACAATAATTGTATCCTCATTTCAGAATGCCACTGCTTTCTGTATTTTCATCTGACTCTGTCCCTGATAATATCAGCCCCTGACTCTGCCGCTGATAACTTCTGAACTCATCAGGCATTTTGAAATAGGAGTTGAGAAGCCTGAGGGATAACTACACCCACGCAGCTCCACTGAGAGCTGGCACTCATGCAGAGAAGGAAGGGTCAAATTAATGTCCTCGATGAGCAGGGGGTACAGCTCAGCTGTTCCATGAGCCTTTTGGCAGTGCCAAAGAGAACTAGAAAGGCACATACCATTGCCAGCTAGTTTTCTCATACCATTCTGTGAGCCTGTCACAGTGGGATTTCTCCAGGGGATGAAGAAGGGTTCAGGAAAACATAATATGCCAGTGACTTACAGTTTAAATGACACAGTTATCTTATATTATTATTATTATTATGTTATTATAAATACTTAGAACATCAGAGAAATGTATCCACTGCTCAGTTTATTATTTTACCTGATCCCCTTAGGTCCTGTAGATGGTAATGAATCTTTTTCATCTCTAATTTTACTTCCAGTCTCCTTTCTCCATTAAACATGCACACAAAACTACAAAAAAAATGCTCTCAGAAACATTCTGTTGATTCCAACACCTGTAGCACCCTTTGTCCCCACTTTTTACACTTTGCAATTCCAAAGTGCTCTCTACTATTTCTACTCATGCAACTCATTCCTTCAAATGTAGCTCCTCATGGACCTAAATTTATTCTTTCTCCATCACAATTTTATATCTTTCCTTCTCCCTTTGATTAGTTATGGCACCTTGTGTGCTGTAAGCAACAGCCACACTGAATTTCCACTTATTAAAAAAATTAGTAAGAGCAAATTATGATTATATTTATCAGAGTAGTACAATCTCATAAGCTGATGAAAGCCATGAAGTGACGTGCCAGATTTTTTTTTCCCTGCCAGAAGAATTAAAACAACGGATAAACAGTTCTAAACATTCCACCTATCAGTTGTTTGTTTTCGTCTTCACAAAATCAGACCTGTCTTTAATCTTGGATTTAATTTCTGTTTCAAACACAGATGCTAGAGCCTAGTTTTGCTGTCATTTTCTCACTGGATTGTTGGAAAAAAACTAGTTTGTTATGAATCAACCTCCCTTCCCCAAATCACAATGCAGTCAAAAAGAAAGAAAAAAAAATGAAGACAGCCCTGAGATTTTACTGAGCTACAACTAAGAACACACCAGTCATGCTTTGTGTCATACACTGCACTGCCTTACCTTGATCGCTGCTTTTCCCCTCATCCACTGCTGAAGCGCCTGGCCCAGCTCCTCTCCTGTCCTCCACGGCTGCCAGCTCTTTCTGCCATCTCCCATATCCCTAATCCTAACACCCTGTCACAGGGTAATTATAGTGCTGGCACGACCCCAACATCTACCTTACATCAACAATTCCCACTTGTTTGCTTTACAGGGAATGACGGAATTAAAAATGTATTTGGACTGGAGAGACTCGTTCGGCACCAGATGACCTTGACAAGTGACCTTTCCTTGGCTTCTAGAAAACAGGCATAAATATGACCTTGGATGATGCTCCATGGCGTACTGAAGGAAGACACAACACCAGTGACCCTGCCTCAGTTCTGTCGCTGCAGCCACTGCTCCAGGAATCCCCCTGCTCCAGCTGCCAACCTGCAACAAGACACGGCAAACGCGGCCAGCATTCCCCCGGGCCCAGGACACATCAAACCACACCGCGGCTCCCTCGGCTCTCAAGCTTGGGGCATAAAACGACCGGACGCGCACAGCGAAAGCAGGAGGATGTTCAGGAGACTCCTGCAGTTTCACATGCAAGCTGAGAGCGGGTAACCCCAGCTCCTCCTCTGAGCTCCACCTTTTCACAGAAACACAAAATATTCTGAGTTGGAATCAGATCATGGAGTCCAACTCCTGGCCCTGCACACGGTGCCCCAAGAATCCCACCGTGATTTGTGAAGGTTTGTGAACTGGCAGTCTTGGGGCCATGACCACTTCCCTGGGGAGCCTATTCCAGTGCTCGACCACCCTCTGCGTGAAAAGCCTTCTCCCAAAATCCAGCCTAACCTCCTCTGACACAACTTCGGGCCATTGCCACCCCCTTACTTATAAGGGCCGACGGGCCGCGCTCGCCCCCTCCCTCCCAGAGCTGAGAACAGCGAGGGCAAAGGGACGGCACGGGGCCGGGGCTCACTCACCTCAGCGACCTGCCCCATGCCAGCACGTGCCAGCCGTGCCGTTCCGGGAGGAACACCGACCCCTCTCCCCTCCGGGCCCGGCCCGCCGCCCCCTCCCGCGCGCCCGGAGCGGGGCGTGGCCCGCCCGTGCCGCAGCCTCACCGAGCGCAAGGCGCATGCGCGAGGCCTGCCGGTGCGCACGCTGCCCGCCCCCGGCCCCGCCCCGCCCCGGCCCCGCCGCCGCGGCCACACCGGGAAGGGCTCCAGGCGCTATGGCGGCGGCTGCGCGCAAGGTAAGGGGGGAGCGGGGCGCGTCCCGTGCCGCCCGCGGGGCCGAGGAGACGCGGGGGGACGCGCTGAGGGACGCGCCTGACCCGGTTTGTTTTGGGCCCCGCAGGTTGGAGGAAACTTCCTGCGGCCGGTGGCCTCCTGAGCGGCAGAGCGACAGAGCGGGAGCGCCCGGGCCCGGCCGCCAGGCCTCTCCCGCCGCCGGGGCAGCGGAGCCGCACTGGGCGGGCGGAGAGCGCGGGGGTGCGCAGCGGGCCCGCCTCATGCGCAGTCACCTGCGGAGAGGCTGAGCGGAGCCGCCGCCGCCGCGCCGGGAGCTCCTGGCGAGCACTTCCCGGGGCAACCCCCGTTGCCCGCCCCTGCGGAGCCGCCGCCGAGGGACGCACACCGACCCCGCCGCCAGCCGGAGCCACCGCCGGGGAGCGACCTGTCAGGGAACCTCGCAGGCCGGCCCCAAGAACCCTTCCCACGCGTTGGTTTGTCCCTGGGAGAAGGCGAGTTGGGAGCCTCTCCATGCCTTATCAAGTTCATTATCTGAGCGGCTCCCAGAAGCTGTAGACCAGTTCAGCTTTATCTGGTGTAAGGGAGAAAAACAGTGTAGCTCTCGCACTCCATCCTGTATCGAGGACCACCTATTCTGCTGGGGTTTAACACACGAAGATGGTGAAATGCCGATTGCTGGGTGAACCATTAGGTCCCTGTTGTGGAACGAGGGCTTTGTATTCACCTTCCAGTTCCTGATCTGTGCCGTGTGTGAGAGGACGCTAATCTTTCTCCTTCATCCCCCTTCCCTAACCCTTTCCTTGCTTCCATGTTGCATTGGTCAGACTTTTGGTCAGTGTTGTTTACGGAAGGGGGGGGGGAAGAAGGCAGTTGAGGTTACAAACAAAAGTACTTGTATGACTCATCTACTTGGATTTAAGACATTGTATCCTTCTTTCACGGGGCCTTTGCTTCTCTCTGAAGGAATCAGATGCTTTTTCCTGTTCTTCCAGGGGAGGATGGATTGAAAGTTGTACGTTTTAGACTTTTTTTGGGCCACTGCTGATATTATTAAAAGACATAATGGGACTTTTTCACTGGATTATTGCCAGAATTAGTTTACACACTGAAACAATGAGTTGTTAAACCTCTCATGATAATATTTCTCCTGCTTTAATATAAAGTTGCTGTGGAGGTGTTTTTAAAATTGTGGAGGACAGTCTGCATCAGAAGAGGCTCTCTTCATCTCTAGTTGGTGTGGCAACCGCAATCTGTCCTCGATGCCTTCAGCCTTGGCCATCTTCACTTGCCGCCCGAACTCCCACCCGTTTCAGGAGCGTCATGTCTATCTGGACGAGCCTGTCAAGATCGGCCGCTCCGTGGCTCGCTGCCGGCCAGCCCAGAACAACGCCACGTTTGACTGCAAGGTGCTGTCCAGGAACCATGCTCTTGTCTGGTTTGATCACAAGACAGGCAAGGTAAGATGTTCGTTTAAACACTGAAACTGCACGTTTGTTCTAGCAAGTCCCTGTAGATTGCGGACCACTCTGGTTTTGCTGTCATAAATGTGGTTGCATAGGTCAGGAGTAAGATTTGTTTTAAAGTGGTAACTTTACAGGTAAGTTGGTAATTTTTTAATAAGCAGAAACTTTGAATATTATGAAAAGTATATGAAGCTAACAGTTGAAAATGGTTAGTTGAAAGGCTTTGCTTATTTATTACTGGAAATAGGTGATTTTGAGGTGAGACGTGCAAATGTGAAAGCACATTGTATCAATATAGTGGTGTAACGGTATTTTTTTCAAATGCAGAGAAATTACTGTTTTATTGGTGTGTGAAAATTGATTGTGAGGAGCATTGAAAAATGGATTTTAAAAAGATACTGTGCTTGTTTGGCACTCTTCCTGCTTGTCCTTTCGAAATTTTGTGGAGTGGTTTGTTTGGTTCTGATAGGAGGTTTATTACTGGCAACAGGAGTGTAATGGATGGCTTCCATTATATAGTCTTACTGTTAGTGAAAATTGTTTTAAAATACATCCTGTGTTCTTAACTGTTCCTCTCTCAAGTCTGGCAGTCTTGTTAAGCAAAATTGAGGGGTCCTGTAGTGCATGTTTTGTCCACTAGGGATTGAACTGGGACAAGTAAAGTTGTTTTACTTAATGTCTGTCAAGTTAATTTTAAATATACAGTGAAAAATTAACAAAGGACAGACCGCAGTTGCTCAGCCTTGTATTTTTTCCCCAACTATATTGATGTTATACTCTGGAATGTAACATGTTCTAAGTCAGCTGGTTTTTAGCTTCACAGCAAGCTAAATGCAGTCAGTGTAGCTCTGGATTTTAAGAATAATATGGTCTGTAATTCATGCAGATTTTTTCAGTAGTATGACACAGCATGAGGAGCAGTACAGCGCAGTCAAAGTTCTTAAACCTGCCATTGTTAACTATCCTATATTATGCAATACTTGGACATGATGGGACAAGACAAGCATTTAATTTCTTAGGGCTGGATTGTGGCTTTCAAGTTACCTGCAGGTAATTGTGCAAACTGCTATCTGTATTAAATGTTTCATTAAGCATCTTGCTTTGGCTCTATTGTGTATGTGATATGCATTCTTGGATTCTAGAAAACTTAAGTGCTTGAAATACTTTCAGTTTAGTCTTTAACTTTTCTTGTTTGATTCAACAAAGTAAAATGTTCCAATTTATTGTGCTGTTTTTAAATTAGAAAGTATTATGCATTTAGCTTTTTATCAACATTTCTTACGATTTACAAAGATTTTAAGACCCCCACATGCTCTATTATGGTTACAAATATGACCTGTCATTTTCAAGATGGTTAATTTGAGAAAGCACTGAGTGTTGAGCAAGTCTGCTAACTGATAGACAAGCTTCAAAAGCCATCAGCTATGAGGATTTTTGTTTCTTTTTAAATTTCAGTTAGCTTTGGCTTTTCTTATACAGGTAAAAAATGTATATGCTTACTCATTTATCCACTTTAAAATCTTAGTAGTAGTAGTAGTAGTAATTAAAAGGATTTTGTTTGATAGTTCTTGGGATAACATCATGTGAACATTTGACAGAAGTCTGATGAAAATTGCCAATGTGGGCATCTGTAGCTATAGTAAACAACTAAAGAATGGATTTGTGATCATGGCCTGGAATCCGCTCCTATTGCTTGTTAGATATGGTGTTGTAAAAGGTTTAAAGCACAGGTATAGCAGTGAGGAGAATTTCAGATTCTGTGCTTGGTTGTTGGCTGTATGGACTGGCTTTTGATCTGGTTGAGTATCACAATGGTAAATTGTGAGACAATTGGCAGGGTGGGGGAAATGCACCATTAGATATAACAGGTATCAAATGCTGTTGTGAAAAGGCAGGTAGAAGACACTGATAAATACAGGCTTGATCTTGAATCACAAGAACTACTTTAAAAAATTCTGTGCTGTTTTCAAAATACAAACAAAAACATGCCAGAACATTTACGTGCAGGAACATCTATTATCATTGTTTACATAACTGCTAATAAGCACATCTCATTTAGGAAATTGTCATTATCCTATCAATGACCTATATTTAAACCTGCACAAATTCTCTTTGTCAGAGCATTTGTAAACATTTCTTAGAATCTTATATATAGGACATTCATCAAGTCTGGATTTTTCTAAAGATAAAATACCTTCAAATGTTAATTTGGTAATGAGAAAAACCTTCAGACATTTCAAAATAGTTTGTTAATGATCTGGGATTACAGTTTCATAAGTTGTGGACTTTGGCAATACCAGTTTCGGGCACTACCAGTCACTCACTCCAGGCTCTGTTGCCTCCTGAGCTGCCTTTCAGTTATACTTTATTACTCTTTTTTTTTTTTTTTTTTTTTCATGAGGGCTTGGAGTTTTATTTTGTTTAGTGAATCATGTGAGTGATCCTGTTTACTACATAGTCTGTAAACAATTTTGTCAGTATTATCTGTAAATAGGGTAGAACCTGAAGAGAGGGAGCATCAGTAAGCTATGCTAAGGAAAGTAGTACAGAATTTTTTTCCTAAGGCAGAGGAAGGTATAAGCTGAAATTTGTTGCATAAGTAGACCAAGCTGAAGATAACATGTTACTTACAGATGAAAGATGTGAATGTTTATTTTGTATAAAGGCACTTTAATTATGCATGGAAAAAGTTATTTGCCCAGGGAGATAATGTCTATGTAACACCAGCATTATTAAGGTTGAAAATAGAATGAGTTTTCAGGATCACCAATACATAGCAATTAAAAGAAGGTACTTAAAGCTGGATTTGCTTTTTAAAATATTTTAAACATTATATGTAAGCCTAAATATGTGTATGATAAAGGTAGAAGGAGATGGTGGTGGGATTATCTGTACTTTGACTTTTTCTGTGCGTAGTAATATTTTTAAAGACAACTGGTGCAATGCCTCTTCCTTCCTGTGTTTGTAGATACAGCATAATAACTCCTAGTTAACTAGTGGATTTTTCATGCAGTGATAACATTAGAATATTATAATTAGATTTCATTTTGGTTTTATTTTTTTTTTTTTAGTAATTACAAGTTAATGAATCTGGGTTTTTTTAGAGGTGCCTGAAAAAGTGACTCACTAGATACGTAGGAAGTTGATGTTGTGCTGAGCATGGAGTGTTCAAAAAAGTGTGAATCAAAGCAAAAGAAAAAGTGGGTTATATTTCAGAAAATCTAAATGTGTTCAGCTCAAATCACTGCATATGAGAAGAAACTCTTAAAAATAGTGTAACTGAAATAATGTTAAACTTGGTTTTTTGGGTTTTGTTTTTGTTTCTAAAAATAAGCAAGTGGAAGACCTTTGAGAATTTGTATGTGACTTCCAGGGTGAAATGCTTCTGACAGATGTTGTAGAAGCTTTTAGTAGAAACCTGAAGCTTCTGAACAGATATTTAGGCTTTCAAAATCTGGAATTATTCAATGCCTGACATTGTTGTGAGTTGCTATTGTAAGTACTTTTTATAGGGAATTCATTGCCACAGTTTACCAAAGGCTCTGAGAAACTGAAAAATAAAGTATTTTCTTAGATCAAAAGCACTCCAAAGAGCTGGTCATGTTTAATAACTGAAAAAAAATGTTGATGTGTTAATGGTAGCTAATGCTATTATTTTCGTTTAATTCAAAGTGGATATAAATTGAATTGAGCACATTCATATTTTGGTGATGCAAATGCTAAGTAGTGTATTGAAACCCATAGTTCCCCTAATAGTAAATGAAATTTGTTAAAGCTGTGCATTATGGCTTCTGGACTTAAAATATGTGAGATAAAAATACTACAAAATACTTAAAGAAAACAAATACAAAACAGATACTCTCCCTCCTTCCCCCCCCCCCCCCCCCCCCCCCCCAATACAACCCTCAAAAACCAAACTCCAAAAGAACCAACCAAAAATCCAAGAAGAAAACCCAAACCCAACCAATGATACAAAACCCCAAGAACTGAAAACAGCCAGCCCAAAGGCACAGCCAGTTTAACGTGATCTGAAGGACACAGTGAAGTTTACTCTGGTCATGTTTGGGTTGACACCAAGCCTGGGAGTGTTGGTGTGGTGGGGATGAGTTGATCTGCTCAAGGGCAGGGCAGGCACCCACAGGGACCTGCTGTGCTGAGTGAATGGGCAGACAGGAGCCTCAGGACAAACGCAGAGGCTGCACTTGGAAAGGAAGAACTCCTTGCAGCTTATTAGACCCTGTCTAGCATACTGCATTTAATTTTGGACCACTAATGCAGGAAATGCATTGACAAACAGGAGTTGAGGTTAGGTAGTTTTTTTTTTTCTGTATTGTACTAGGGAGTAAAGTAAATTGATATAAAAGAAAGCAAACAAAATTAGTAAAGAGGAAATATGTTCCTCACTTAACATTACATAAAATGTTTTGTGGATATCAAGAACTTGGCACGATTCAGGAAAGCACAGAACATTTTCTTTGGATGTTCTGTTTGTTCAGAAGTATATTAGTAAATTTGTCTTAAAAAACTAAGTGGGATATGAAAAATGGTATTTGGAATTGCAGGGTTTTGGTGGGAAGTTTTTTTCCCACGGCTTCCAGTAGAGAATCCTGTGTGATACTCTGGCCTGTTTAGTGCTGATCTATGTAAAGTGTGTTTAGTTTCCCATGTATCAGTAGCACTTATTTCGATAGATAACATGTCTGTTATTTCGGTTTTCCTCTATTATATCTTCTGAGCTCTCTGTTAGGATTGTTGTCCGAGAGATGAACAACTTATTTCGATAGATAACATGTCTGTTATTTCGGTTTTCCTCTATTATATCTTCTCAACTCTGTTAGGATTGTTGTCTGAGAGATGAACAGATGTTTTATTTTTCAGTACTCTTGATGTTGCTGTATGCTTACAGTCTGCAGTGGAGACACTGGCTTCGGAACATTGAATGTTTGTCCCAAGTGCCCTGGGGGACTGACCTGGGATTTGCTGTAATGCACTAA